ATGCGCTGCAGTCTGTGAGAATGCGTTAGTAACAAATTTGGGTCTGCTCGATGCTCGATTTCATTACAGGCACTGATCAACGCTCTGGTGAAGAGGGTGGATTGGGTTATTCAGGGTTTTGTTCTCCATTCGCATACCATGCTTGACTACTAGCTCTGTATTTTTTCGGCCAAATCGTTGTATGGAAAGCCACTGAGTGTTGAAACAAATTTCGGTGATCTTATTGTTGTAATTGCGCGGATCAGCACTTCCGGAAAATGACAGCGCTTGCGAGGAGGTAAATAGGGATAATGCACGCAAACAGCTTTTAGTAGCGTCACTTGGAGCATTCAACGTCCTCAGTCTTTTGGCATAAAGCGGCACCTTGCAGCATCGATTCGCCACAGTTTCAGTATGGAAGTTTCACGTGAGGTCAGGTGAAAAAGTGGCTGTTAATTATTTCATGTTCATGACTTGTAATACCAGTTCGTTTTATCAAGGATCGAATGATCAAAGATTTGGTTGATATATCAGGAAGTACATTCCCGTTTATGTGACTTATTACGCAGATCCATTCTCTTGTTTTATTTAGGTTGAGGAAGAGGCGATTATTAGAGTAATAATGGCATTTCAAATCATCGGGGTAAAATTTATCTGCGAAAGAGAAATCATGGACACCTTCTGCTAATTATTGCTCTGGATGGTCAGCTGTCACCTGGGTCAAGGCGAACTACAGCCATAAAAGTCACTCGGATCGGATAGCATGGTCGCGCACCTTGTTCTTTCTCTTATGAGCACTCCAGAATACCATGGTTTCCCTCTTTTTGAAGTCACCGAGTTACTACCTGTTTCTTGGTTCTGTGAGTTTTTCCCTCCTCAAGGGCATTCGCGGTTCAGGCAAAGATTATCCTTTAAAAGGATTCGAACTCGTCAAATCCGACGTTCATAGCGGACCTCATAGCCATTGTGCCACTGCGCCCCAAGAACGAGATGCTTTAAAACGACTTGCCGCATTAATAATGACGTTTGTTGTTGTGGCAGTTGTCCACTGAGAAGACGTCAGAGATATTTATTATATTTCATTTTAAAGCATCAGCGAAAGGGCCGAATGTTACTAATTTTGCTAGAAATTAAACATGTGTACTGTTAGTTTTACTGTTAGCGTGATTGAATTTGTTTTTATTTTTTGTCTTATACAGATCTGATACTCTTTTTAGTTTTAATTTGAAATGGCAGGTTGCGCTTCATGAAGATTCGGTTACGAAAAGCGAAACTTTGTTTTTCGACTGCTCTATTGTCGTTTTTAACATGCACGTTGTTAACAGTGATGTTATCATTTCCCGGTGATGATGACAAAACTTCGTACTTGCTGCCTTTTGTGAGCCGTTCTAAAAGTCCTATGCATCGACTTTGTATCGTGGTGCCGTTCAGGAATCGATTTGAGGAGCTACTTGCGTTTGTTCCGCATATTAGCACGTTTCTAAGGAAAACTGGTATCAATAGTTTTGTGATTATCATCGTTAACCAGGTGGATTCGTATCGCTTTAATCGTGCGTCGCTGGTGAACGTCGGATACCACGAATGCCAGCGTCAGAACTGTGATTATTTATGTATGCATGATGTTGACCTGTTGCCTTTAAACCTGAAATTGGACTACGGGTTTCCGGCACTTGGACCTTACCATATTGCATCGCCGGAATATCATCCTAAATATCATTACCAGAAGTTTATTGGTGGAATTTTATTGCTAACCATGCAACAGTACAAACAAGTGAATGGCATGTCCAACCGCTACTGGGGTTGGGGGCTCGAAGACGACGAATTTTACCTGCGTCTCAAAGACGCTGGTCTTTCTATCCAGCGGCCACGAAACCTAAGAACAAATTCTACAAACACTTTCTTGCATATACATGATAGAGTCGTGCGCCGCCGTGATTATGCCCGTTATGGTAAACAGAGGGAAGAAACAAGAAAGCGGGATCGAGTAACAGGATTGCAGAGCGTGCAGTACACGTTGGTGAAAAGAGTGGAAATGAACATTGAAAGAGAACCGTTCACTTTGTTAAACGTTAAGCTACACTGTAACGTATCTTTAACTCCGTGGTGCTCTCCATCATGACCCGGGTTCATTTTTGTTGTTCAAGTGTTTTAGATTGTTTCTCCGCAGGTGCTCATTGCTCAGTAAAGTCTTTGGCATATTAAAAGTGGTCAGTAATCAATTCATTTAAGTACTGCAATCCATGTTAGTATATATTGACCTACGTCATTGAAGAACGTGTCTGCTTTTCATACGATTCTATTGGTATTTGGTTATCATCTGGCTGATTTGCACAACTGCAGACATCTACAAATATGTCATAAATATACTCTCATTGTCATGTGTCATTTTGATATTGGTAGTTATTCACTGTTCTGACAAAGGAAAGATGCTCAGTTGACAACAGAAAAACATTTATTTTCGTATGCCACGCTTCGTATTGGCTGCAGTTCACTTGCCAACGTTGTTTCAGCTCCCACGTCAGCAGCTGACGAGTTAATGGGGTTTGGTCACATCCCTACAGATGGTTGTACTACGCGACACTATAGTTCTGTCTCTAGGATCTCTGACGTTAGCTAACGTCAAGACGTGGTCGTATTATTTGAACTTCAGCAGATGTCGTTATAAGCGCTACAACAGGCTGTTCAGTCAGCGTTCATGTTTTCTTGTAAGTGCACCGTTTCTAGTACAGTACAACAATTACATTGATGTGACAAAGCGAAAATGTTAGAACCTTGTAAACACTGTTATTCCTTTTGTGGCCTAAGTTTTCAAAAGGTTCTTAGCAGTGTACAAAGTCATTCCTGCCTCGGTTTTTTTTACGTTTATCATCATTTGTGACGGAGCTGAGGTATTAAATGTGCCGGACTTCTGCGATGGCGTAACCTCTGTGGCATACTGTCGGTTCTACTGTCTAATCTAAATCCATCATCACCTCAGGGTTCAGCTGAAGGCCTGTTTTAGCTGCAATTATGCCCGTCACCGTTAGCGTATAAAATTCTCCCTCTCTGGGTAAGGTAATGCTGTCACCATAATTCTAATATGTACATTACATCGCTGGGTACATTTTTGTATATTAAAACGTGCTACTAGAATGAACAGTAGATGAAAAAAATATATCAGCAGTCTGACGCGGTGATTGATCTCATAGCATTCCGAAATCCGTCCAATCATTCCTTAACATCACTATTGATCCCATCGTACATTTTCATCACGGGAACGATTTATTTTGATTAAGGTTTCACATGAACTTCCGCGTTATTTAGCGTTGGGTTGAATCAAATGTGGTACGGAACTCGTTGAAGGTGGCATACCGGGAAAGCAGAAGCTGGCGACACTGCTCTATGTTTTAGAATCTAAAGAAGATATGTTGGGTATAGTAGTGCTTCGTTCGAAATCATACATGGTTCCTCAGGAATCTCAACCATCTGCCGTAATCATTCCAGTGTATTCATTGAAGATATTTTTAAGGCTTGCCGGTCATCACTGATAGCGATTTGTGGATGCGACTTCGTCTTTATTCATCAGCTGCCTCACCTATCCTTCAGCATGAAAGCTGACTTCCCGGTGCAGTTCTTGTTTAAGGAAGGTCATGGTTTTTGTCTATTTTACCTTTACAGTGGTACGCTCTTCCGCCGTTATTCATCTCTGTTGCAATCTAGATTGATCCGCCAATGCTCGGCAGTGATAAGATGACAGGAAGAAATGCCCACGTTGCGTCTAACTGCCTGTCCAGCAAGCACCAAGCTCGCTGTGCTAGTTCTGGCAGACCAACAGCTAGTCGATTTAAGTCTGATATTTTCCGTCCGTGACGCGTTTGATGGACCCGTTTGCGTGGAAATGAAGAACTGTCTACTTGGACAAAAGTTAATAAAATGTCATCCGATGTTTTGGTGTTTTCAGCATCATCCATGGTCATATCCTAATAGCTCCTGCGGTCATTGGTTGTAATCAGAAGACAAATGGCGAAGAGAAGAGAAAAAATGGCAACTTTAAGAAAATCATATCGTAGCAGAACGTACTGGCAATAAGTTTTTCGGCAATGCTGCTTTTGGCGCCCTGAAACATAGCATGACTAAAGGTGCATAACTACAGGTTACCAATTAAGACTCTCAAGTTTTAGTTATTCAAAAATTTTAACTTCATCAATAATTAGTGAGAGCGACACAGCAAGAGCCATGGAGGCTTGATGTCACTTTTAGACTCGAATTTCTTTATATTAAACTGTGTTTAGGCATGCACGAATTATGATCAAGTGTTTTAATTGCAGTACGTTAATAAACACACCCATTTAATGCATTTATTTTAAAATCACTCTTCCAATAATCTTTAGCCACGAATCCGGTAGCCAATTATTCCAGTCAGCCAGAACGGAAAGCAACTATTTCACATTCTACCCCGATCCATACGGGTGGTTTCTAACCCTGAAAGGAGAGATTTTTGGCACCTTTGTATGGAATCATACTGGTCACTTTCTGATTCCGATATATATTTTTAAAGTGAGGGAAACTTTCCTATTTATTACATTAATATATCCATGTAAGCTACGCCTAAGCTAGTATCCTGATCATTTGAAAGCTTCCTTTGGAATGCACACATCTAAGATTATGGTTTATATTAATCGATCCAATGTCTCTTTCAACTCAAATAGAACGTTAACATTATTAGTTCATGTTTTCAGTTATTTCGTTGCTTACGGCAAAATATCGGCCGATATAGATGTCACGTTAGCCGTTTTACTGTTTCAGTTTCTCTCGGTGTTCATTATCTGTTTGTTTTTTGAAGGCTAAGACTAATCGTTTCTGTTTAGTAACAATTATTCAGTCTTTTCTCTACACAAAGGATATTGACTATTAAAACGGTACACGGTAAGCAGGTACAAGAGCATATATGGTGTAGAATAATCGCAGAGTGCTGAACATATTATGCCAAAGTTTCTTTTATAAATTTAATTTTTATTTTTGACGAAAAAGGCTTTAGGTGCTCTGCAAAATATCAACCTGTTTGAAACATTATTCCTTATTTGAGTGTTTCAAAAGTTGAGCAAGTACCTGCAAATCGGATTTTGATGTCGGTGAGTTTTACACAACCTCGTTTGAACCTGCGTTTGCGGACGGTTGCGCGTGCTTGCGTCGCTGATGTTTATTGCTGTATGTGTTTGTTTCGATTGAAATCTGTTGAAAGAAGATATGTTAGCTGCGCGTAAGCGGGCTCCTTTCGGTTCATGGCAGTCGACTATCACCAGTTCGTTGATAACTGATTCGTCTGTCGTTCTTTTGGAATTACATCTTGATCAGCAAAATGATTATAAAGGTACTTTAATTTTGGAAAATGCCATACCTTTGAAGAAGTAGATGGTTCAGAGGAATCTGATGGGATATTAAATGTGTAGTGACCGAAAGTCGTTATTTCAGTTGGCATTCAAATTCATGTTCTATGTCTTTAGGTTCGTTCTTTATGAAGCATGCGGCTTTAAATTATTCAGTTTAAATAGCTTTATAATTCTTTGATAAAAAGTTTTAATTATGGGCGATGCTTTCTTTTTGTTTTGTCTGTACGTAAATTTCGTCATATTTTATTTTACGCTGTTTCATTGCACATTACTTCAGGACTTCCGAGCAACAGAAGCAACAGTTTTAAACTTCGGTTCAGTCTCGAATGTGTGTCCATATTCGCCGATCCTACATTCCTCTGTTTCGTCGGGTAGACACTGACTCTCAGCGAAGTCGGGGACTTTATATACTATCGGTCCTTCAGAATGACTTCCATTCGTTTTGCCTTTGTGCGCTAGTGTCTAGTGGTAACGTCATTTTCGACTCCAGCAGTTAATGGGTTTATGTACCTGCAACTCGAAACGGGACGACGGAGCGATGTTTGGCGAATCTGGGCATTCAGTTTAGAATGAATCTAAGATTTTATTTAATGCTGAAACTTGATTCCTTTAAGCTCTCGTTCACAGCTACTTAGTTTAATCAGTAAAGTGTTGTAAACTAAGAACCGGATGGATAACACAGTGGTCATATCCCTGTATTGACAAAATGTAGCTATGGGAAGCGTTCAGTTTTTAATGTGACATCCCTCTATTGTAAATACTAACCTTTTTTCGAGCTTTAAGGGCTATGTGGAAAGAAGCAAAAGTTCGTTTTTAGCGATTTTCTTCGTTCATTCAGCTTGTAAAAGAATGATGTCTTTTTTAGTATTATTTTTCTGTTTTCGATGATATTTTAAATTCCATTCGCTGTAAGATGTCGTCTATCCAACATAACCTTTCATCTTCTCTCATTCTCGATACAGCATCAAGACCAGTAGTACCATTTTCTCCACACATTCGCAATTCTTTCTTATGCTGTGACCAAAATATCGCAGTTTCTATTCTCTGTTTCATTTGAGTCAAATTATTGGTCTGATCTTTGCCAAAAACTCTGCTAATAACGCAAAGACTGTATTGCTATAAGTAAAATAATAAATTTGCATTATTTTCAGTGCTTTGATGCGCAGAAAAATTTACACCCTTATTGGTAATTCAGTCTGACAGTTTGCTTCTTAACGTTACGACAAAAAGTGACAGTTGTTAAAATTACTGTAATTATCGGAACTGGCGAGTAGTGATATGATAAAACCCTAATCTTATCTGAATATGTGCGAGCTTACTTTCTTCCTATTATAATTTTAAGCTGTTCTTTTGTAAGATTTTGTCAATTTTTTTTACAGTCGTGTGATGCGTATTTTGTTTTTACCTAAATTTGAATTTACTTTAGATACGGTGTATTGGAGTGAATATCACAGTGATCTTGAGCAAAGCATTATATTTTCGAAGAAGCAGAACGATCACATAATGCGATGGACGCCTCCGAGGTTCAGCGTCGACAGTAAAGTTCATGAATATGGCGGTGGCTCTTTTTTCGTCTGCGAACGCCACGTCTATTTTTGCAACGCCTTCGATCAGAGAATTTACCGCCAAGGTGGTCCTCTCTCTGCGCCGTTTCCAATAACACATCCGTGCGACAGTCGCTTTGCCGATGGTTACGTGTTCAAGGTCTGTGTCAAAATGTCTGCCCCAGAAAATATCTTCTGGATGATTCATTGCTTGTTTTGTTCGAGCGTATCAGTCACTAGTACTCGATAATTATGGACAAAACAGATGACCAGTGGTTTTGATCGTACGACAGTGATCATCGTTTACGTAAACGGTGTCTTTGAGCACGTAACTTCACTTGATGAAGAATGCACAGGATCAGTGTGTTTTCTTCAGTTACTGAATATATGTAAGTTTTCTTGTACAGAAAACGTTAGAATGTATTGTACTTAAACTTTATTAATACTTTGTTGCTGCACATGCGGGATTCAGATATCACTGTTGCATAGATTTTGCTTTCAATCTATGTGCCACTCTCCGTTCCGAGGAGACGGATTGGTACACAGTATTCATCCTAAGCAAGAGTATGTGTTCTGACTCCTTACTCGTATCTGAGTTTCTAATCAGTTTATCTGTTTCTTATTTTAATTGTTTTCTAAGATTTATGAGATGTCTGCTTGCCCTCGCCTACGTTGTAAATTCATAAATCTTTTACTCTGTTAGTGGGAGAATGCATTTTATTGAAATTCTCCTCATAGTATCTTATTCTTTGATCGTCGTCTCAAATGTGTGCAATGTTTGATTTTTTGAAAGCAGAGGCCCACAGCATGTCCAATCAATACGAGACATCATTCCAACCTGGTGAGATATTAGTTTAGCAAAC